ACAAGTATTGGGGGAAGAGGGAGCTATTCCATAGAGATGAGCTCCACCTAAACCAGGCTGGGACCAACATCCTGGCAAAGCGAATACATATGGAGGTAACCAGTGCTTTAAACTACTAAGGGTGGGGTGGGGGGTTGGGGGGTGGACGGTTACAGCTACATTTAGAAGTAAAACAGCAAAACTAAGAACGATGAAGTTGGTAGAGCAGATTAGCGAGGTAGATAAACAGAGTGTGTCAAGGAGGGACACGAAGCTCAGCAAAGAGCGAGAAGGGGAAATAGCAAGAAGTCAAAATTAAAGCATTCGTAATAAGATAGACAAATTATTGGCAAAAATAGAAACAAACAAGTATGATCTGGAAGCCATTACTGAGACGTGGTTACAGGGGTTCAAGGGTGGAAGCTAAATATTCTGGGGTATTTGGCATATAGGAAAGATAGGCAATGTGGAAAACAAGGTGGGGGATGAGTCCTGGTAATAAAGGATGGGATAAAAATAGTTAAGAGGAAGGATTTTAAATCAGAAAATCAGAATGTAGAGTCAGTATGGGTGCAATTATTAAATAACAAGGGGCAGAAAACACTAGTGGGAGTAGTTTATAGACTCCCGAACAGCAGTCACAGTATTGGGCAGAGTATTAACCAGGAAATTAGTGGAGCTTGTAGCAAAGGAAATAAACTAATAGTGAGTGATTTTAATCTTCATATAGACTGGGAAAACCAAATTGGCAAAAGTAAGTTAGAGGAGGAGTTCATAGAATGTATTAGAGATAGTTTTCTAGATCAGTTTGCTGAGGAACCAATCAGGGAACGGGTGATCCTAGATCTTGTTTTATGTAATGAAATCGGGCTAATCAGCAATCTGGAAGTTAAGACTCCTCTGGGGCAGAGTGACCATAACATGATGGAATTTAGCATTAAATTAGAGAGTGATTTAGTTAAGTCCGAAGCAAGGCTTTTAAATTTAAATAGAGCCAACTTTGCAGGTATAAGAGAGGATTTGGTTAAAATGGACTGGGGAATTAGATTAAAGGATATGACGGTAGATCAGCAATGGCAAACCTTTAAAGATATAGTACATTATTCCCGGCGATCACATATTCTCTTGAGTAATAAAAATATCACGGGAAAAGTGGTTCAACCATAGCTAACTAGAGCAGTTAGGGAAAGTATAAAATTAAAAGAAGAGGCCTATAATACTGCCAAAAAGTGCAGTAAATCTGAGGATTGGGAAGGCTTCAGAGACCAACAATACATAAAGAGGAAGAGACTATCAAAAATGAATGTGGGTCCATTACAGGCAGAACCAGGAAGAATTATAATGGGGGATAAAGATATGGCAGTCATTAAACAAGTACTTTGCTTCTGTGTTCATGTTAGAAGATGCTGAAAACTTACCAAAAGAGGGGAAACAAGAAGCTAATGTTAGTGAGCAACTTAGGGAAATTAACATCATAAAGAATTAGTACTAGGGAAACTGTTGGGATTGAAAAATGAAAAAAAAATCCCCTGGACCTGATGATCGGCATCCTAGGGTTTTAAAAGAGGTGGCTGCTGACATAGTGGATGGCTTGTCTTTGATCTTCCAAAATTCTGTGGATTCTGGAACCAGTTGGTTCTTCCATTGATTGGAAGATTGCAAACATAATGCCACTATTTAAGAAGGGTGGGAGAGAGAAGGTGGGGAACTATAGACCAGTCAGTCTGACATCGGTGGAGGGAAAATTCTAGAATCCTTAATTAGGGACGTGTGGGTAGTAGGGTACTTAGAGGACCATAACATGATTAGGCAGAGTCAACATGGCTTTACAAAAGGGAAGTCACGCTTAACAAATCTTTTAGAGTTCTTTGAGGGTGTTACTAGCAGGTTAGATAGGGGGGGCACCAGTAGATGTAGTGTATTTAGATTTTCAGAAGGCATTCAAGAAGGTGCCACATAAACGGCTGCTATACAAGATTAGGGCATATGGAATTAAAGGCAATATATTAGCATGGATCGAAGACTGGCTAACGGGAAGAAAACAGAGAGTAGGGATAAACGGGTCCTTCTCAGATTGTCAAGATGTGACGTGTGGAGGCCACAAGAATCAGTGTTTGGCCTCAATTATTTACAATCTTTATCAATGATCCAGACAAGGGCATAGAACTTAAAATATCTAAATTCGCGGATGATACTTAGCACGGTGGGAGAGTAAGCTCTGAGGATGGCACAAAAAGATTGCAAAGAGATATAGATAGGCTAGGTGAGTGGGCAAGAAGGAAGCAGATGGAATATAATATGAAGAAGTGTGAAGTTATCCACCTAGGTAGTAAAAAGAAAAAAGCAGATTATTTTCTAGAGGGGAAGAGACTAGATAGTATCAGTGCTCAGAGGGATTTGGGTGTCCTTATACACCAGTCACAAAAAGTTAGTATGCAGGTACAGCAAGCAACTAGGCGTTTATTGCAAAAAGGTTAGAGCACGAGTGTAGGGAAGTCTTGCTGTAACTGTATAGGGCCTTGGTGAGACCGCACCGAGAATATTGTGTGCAGTTTTGGTCTCCTTATTTAAGAAAGGACATACTCGCCTTAGAAGGGGTGCAGCGTAGATTCACTCGGTTAGTTCCTGGGATGAGGGGGTTGACCTATGAGGAGAGGTTGAGTAAACTGTGCCTATATTCTCTAGAATATACAAGAATTAGGGGAGATCCTATAGAAACATATAAGATTCTTATGGGGCTTGACAGAGTAGATAGTGTGAGACTGTTTCCCCTGGTTGGAGAATCTATAACCAGGGGTCACAGTCTTAAGGTTAAGGGTCAGCCTTTTCGAACAGAATTGAGGAAACATTTCTTCACTCAGAGGGTAGTGAATTTATGGAATTCTCTACCCCAGAAGGCTATAGGTGCTCAGTCCTTGAACATATTCAAGACTGAGATTGATAGATTTCTAAAAGATAGAGGGATTAAGGGATATGGAGGTAAGGCGGGCAGATGGAGTTAAATTAAAAGATTAAGATCAGCCATGATCTTATTGAATGGTGGGACAGGCTCGAGGGGTTGAATGGCCTACTCTTGCTCCTAATTCATATGTTCCTATGTTCCTATGATAAGGCGCTATACCAAATGCAAGGATTATTATTATTACATGAAGGGGAATAATAGTAAGTGAATATGTGCTGGAGAAGGAATAGCAGTCCCTTTATATATGACATAGTCAGTAACAGATACTATATATTAAAAGTTTGTAATTCTGTTATCTTCCGTTTAATTTTCATGAGCGCAATGCAATTCACATCCCCTGAGGCTTAAAGCATTTAATAATCACCAGCTATCCCATTTTACTCAGTGCCCCACTCAGCTCTTATTCTGATCAATAGAAATGAAATAATATAGCACTTAAAATTGCACCAATCATCTGAGTCACCTTTACTATTTGACATGCAGGAGCAGTATCTGTGCACCAGCACTATAGGCCTTGGTCTCACTATAGTTTGGGTCTTGGTTTCACGGATTAATCTCCAGTTTTATCGAGCACATCATTCCAGGTTTGACTCTCTGAGTCAGCTGTGGGTTCAAGCCCCACTTTGGGATTTTAAGCTCACAGTCTGGACTGATACTCCAATGTAGTGCTGGGGCTACAGTGTTTCAGATGAGACATTAAAGCAAGCCTCCATCTCCCTGTTCAGGTGAATGTTAAAGATAAAGGAGAAGGGAGTTTCTCCTGGTGTTCTGGTCAACAAGCTCTCAAATAAAATTGGTCACTCACTTCACTCATGGCATAAATCAAGAAATATTCAATCAAGAGCATTTATTTTGTTGGTCGACCAAAAAGGTTGGCCACCACTGGCTTAACTAATACCATCAGTATTTACTGTAGTCAGGCTGTTACCTTTCACTCTGTTCATTGTTTGCTCAGACATTCGTGTCTTGTTGAATTAAGATGAACTTGTCAATTGAACATTAGCCCAGAATCTGCTAAATGGCTCTCCTTTACATTTACCAAAATTCCTTCCTGCTTTCATATTGTTGTTTAAATGTTATTTCAGGTGACTGCCTTGAATGCCTTAGACACCTCATGGTAGGATATTCCAAATGGAGTCCTGTACCTTAGTGATTAGAGAACTCTCCTCGCAAGCGAGAGGGAGGACCTGGGTTTGATTTCTGGTCGGGGGGGAAGGGTTAGGCAAGTTTCCTTACTCCACACGCCTCTGTTTACCTAACAATAAGTAGGAACATGCTTGTTAGTCGATTGGCTTTGAGATGTCTCAACGACGTAATAAGGCGCTATATCAAATGCAAGTATTATTATTATTTATAATCATGTACTAATATGCCAATCTTCTTTGTATTTGATACAGAGCTCATAACATTGAAATGCCTCAAAGAGCTTCACAGGGATTTGGTGTCAAGTGTAGTGACTGTGTAAACAAATAGCCGATAGGGTCACTACTTAAAAATCGCAAGAGTCCGAGAACTTTAAAACAGCGGATTCGAGCGCGATATTCTCTGCTTGTTCCCCACCCTGCAACACCTCATTCCCAGCTGAGACAGCGAGTGGGGGCGGGGGAGATGGGTTCAAGCATAGACTGCTGGGGGCTAAATTCATCATTGTCTCCCATCTGATTTTGAGGCATCAGTCGATATACCAATCTCTAATTAGATTGATAAGAATTTTATGGAACCATCAAGGGATATGGGCAGCAAGCAGGAGAGTGGGTTTACGTTTAGGTGGATCAGAAACACCAGTCCAGAGTTGATGAACCAAACACCTGATTTCTGTGCTGTAACATTCTCAGTTATACAAAGGTTCACAATCAAGATCCAAAGAAAAAATCAGTGTATAACAGATCTTGACTTTCCAATCCAGTGGTTTAAATATCAGTGTATTAGGTTTATAATCGAGCCCTCTGCTTGCACTGAGTCTATGAGGGATTATAGCTTTTCAGAATCTCTTCTGTACAGAAATGTTAGCACAAGGACAGTAAACATAATCTTCTCTGCTTCATCTCCACAGGGCTCCGGCCAGTGATCAGAGTCACAGTCTGATAGATCAATCAATCGTCTGATCTCAAGGCTTCTTACTCCCTTCTCTTCCTCCTCCCCCACCCTCTCACTCCACTCTCTCCCCCTCGAGTCTGAGGAATGGAAAATCTAACCGAACTTCAGAACCCTTTGCTGGAGAAAGGCAACAGACATGTCAAGGGCGATTTCAGCTATCAGGACGATTACAGTGAACGGGACTACAAGGAGAAGATTTTCAACTACTTTGTGAGCAGCAGTTCCAACAAGAACAAGCCCAAAGGCAACTTTGCCCATCAGCTGCTGGACGCCAGCTCCTTACACCTGGCTGTGGAAGCTTTTTACCGACCAAATTTTATCCTGTACAAGGATGAGACTAAGGACGAGGTCAAGGATTACAAAGGTGACAGTTGTGAGACCACCTTCACGGAGGACAAAAACTTGACTATCGATTCGCCTGGCCGCGAATCTAAACTAGCGGAGTTGGCAGAGAACGAGGCTAAAATTCAAACCGTCTCGTATGAGGTGGAGGAGGAGGAATTTCACGAGTGTGAGGTAAAGTCACTTCCCACTTTGTTTTGTGCTTAGTTTCTGCTGAAAACCTTACCTGTAGAAATCGCTAAATTTTGTTTTAAATGCTGGTGTTTTTTTTAGGCCTGTGTTTTTTTCAAGCCTGTGAGAACAATTTGGTACCAGAAGGAGCAAGAGACAGAGAGAGAGTGTGTGTGTGAGAGAGAGAGGGAGAGAGAGTCTAGTCCAAACTCTTCTTTTCTCATTGTCCTCCGCTTGAGGTATAGTGACTCCTACACCATAGACAGAGGCCATTCGGCCCGTCGGGCCTGAGCCTATGCCTGAGCCTGTGACAGCTCTTTGAAAGAGCTACCAACTCGTTCCACTCTCCCGCTCTTACTCCATAGCCCTGCAAGTACATATCCAATTCCCTTTTGAAAGTTATTATTGAATCTTCTTCCTCCACCCTTTCAGGCAGTGTACTCCAGACTGTAACAGCTCGCTGGGGAAAAAAATTCACATAGTCTGCCCTCTGGTTCTTTTGTCAATTTTGACTCCTTTTAACGTTCTTACTACAGTCACTATTTCCGTATATAATGATCAACCTGCAACTCGTAAAATAATCCAGGATTACTTAATTTTGGAATCTCCATGTGAAGATAAGTACATGGAATTCTCACCTTGATTTGGAGACTCTTAAGCACAGGTGATAGGTTCCCGCATGTGCAGACACCCAGCTGAGCAATAAAAAATATCTAGGATCTGATTTTAAATCATGGTTATTTGCCAGAGGGCTGGCTTGTAGTATTTCCCTATTGAAATAAAACATCATCAGAGTGGTTACACCCAGCTAGAATTTCTGCCCTCAGGCACTTTCTGCATGGGATGAGGACGCAATATAAAGGTTAGAGCTACAGGTCCTATAAACGTAATCACTTGTTTGTGTTTGCTGGCAAGAGACTGTTTGGTTTGTTCTATTGACTGACTTTCTCCCACATCACCCAATGGCTGCACACAATTAACACAAGGACAAACATGGCTGCTGTGGGTCACAGCTGAAGGGAAGAGGGCAACAACAACAACAGCAACAAAATTATATTTATATAGCGCCTTTCACGTTGGGAGGACGTCCCAAGAGGAGCAAAAGTAATCCACTGCAATCGCTCCTCACAACAACAAACGCCATTCAGTTCCCCAAGACTCATAGAATATTGTAGGAGGCTTCATGTACTTCTTTTGCCAGGGTCCCAATCCATTCTGTTAACACAATCACACACCAGGTTAGTGGGATGAAATTAGGACATCTGGAGAGAGATGGCAACAAAATATGTCAAGTTTGAGCTCATCTTACTGTACGTTAATGTACCTCCAGTATCTCATTTATTGAGGCCATCAGAGCAGGACCTAATAAATAGCCAGGGTTTTTATGTCCCTTTTCCCTTTTTCTTATATGAAAAAAAAATTATCAAATGCATCTGCATCTTGCTATAATTTATTTTAAATCAATGGACAAATCCATCCTGGGAACTTTACAAGGTTGTCCTGGCTGTTTAATCAGGTTCCTGGTACCAGCAGCTTTCTGTTACTCCCCTCAGTTCAGTGCCACCTGGTCGCCCACTGGCTCAGCCGTTCAGATCACTGATTAGTTTAAGAACATACTGCTGTGCACGAGCATGTGAGATCACTGGGGTTTATATGTGGAGTCCAGTAGCCCAGTGGTTAGAGCACTCGCCTTGCAAGCGAGAGGACCTGGGTTTGATTCCCAGCAGGGCGAAACCTTGGGCAAGTTTCCTTACACCACACACCTCTGTTTACCTAGCAGTAAGTAGGAACCTGGTTGTTAAGTCAATAGGCAGATTGCTTTACCGGGGATAATAATCCTTTCCTCCCCCAAACAAACAAACAAACAAACAGACAGACAGACAGACAGACAGACAGACAGGTCAATCAATCCACGACTATTTGTGAGATATTGCTTTGCGCAATTGGCTGCCACGTTTCGCCCACAAATACACAGTCACTACACTTTACAATATATTCTGTGAAACACTTTGAGACATCTCATTGACGTGATAAGGTGCTTTATCAAATGCAAGTATTATTATATATAATATTATATCTGACCAATCCCAAAGAAAGTTAGTATTCCTAAACTCCTTGACCTCTCAAAACCCCCAATTCCATCACCACATTGCTAATTCCTACTTGAACTTGCTGATACAATTGGCCTCCACTACCTCCCTGGGGGGCCATTTCCACGGACTTAGTGATCAGTCTGTGCAAAAATGTTTAACTCTGAATTGTCTCTTATGACCTTGGCTCCTGCCAAAACTTTTCTGTCAGTATCTGGGACTTATAGCTCTGACACTCAAAGCTCACATGGGTGAGGTCCAACAACAACTTGCATTTATATACCATCACTCACGCACATCTCAGAGGGCTTGACAGTGGCGGAGCGCAATGCTGAGCCAGGGGGATGTCGAAGAGGAAGGTCTTCAGGCGTGACCTGAAGGTGAGGAAGGAGCAAGGCTAGGCATTGAGGAAGAGTGTTCCTGAGTTTTGGGGTATAGTGGCTGAAAGCACCGCCGCTGATGGTGGAGCAGACGGCTCAAGGGACAAGCAGGAGGTCAGAGCCAGGTCCTAGAGAGCTACCAGCGCTCATGAAACTGCACCCAAGTGGCAGGAAGAATGAGTGAAAAACAGCACCTTCAGGAGATGGGAAAATAAATTAATTGCAGCGAAGGCCCAAAGCAAAGAAATGGGTTGGCCCCAAGGGGAGACGTGGAGTCAATATGATGGCAATAAAACTGTCGGCCCTTGACAAATTCTGGATTATCATTCTGATTGCATTGTGTGCACTATATTATTTCTCTTTCTTATGAGAAAATGATGAAGGAACACCAATGCAAATGGAAAAAGACAAACTCAAGGATACATCTGTATAATAAAGAGGGGTCTAAAAACCATCAAAAGGTCTATCGTGTTTTCCTCTTGATCTGGCTAGATAAAAAAAATTACCATATAAATGTTTCTGTTTTTCTATAAGGCTTCAAGGGCAAAGTAATCTCTTAATCTCGTCTGACAGTGTACATCAAAGATGATGACAGAATACAGAGCAGCCCTTTCAAATCTCACTGCCATAAACTGGTTATGAATACAGAACATGACAAGGGCAAATCACACCATTATCTCCAGTGAGTGCATTTGCTTGTATCAGGGCAGCTGCACAGCCACATGGAGAATCTCTGGCCCTGCTTTAGCCTGAATCCTCAGGGAGAGCCATTGATTTGACATGGAGAACATAACTTCTCTTTCCTATGGGTTCAAGCCCCATGTCAGGACTTATGTGTGTAGTGTATATGGCTCTCCACTGCAATACTGGGAGTGGTGCTTCGTCAAAGGTTCCACTCTTCAGATGAGATGCTGAACTCCCTCCACTCAGCATGCTCTGGCCTGCTCCGTGCCCCCTAGCCTGCCCGGCCCACCATCTGTGGTCAGGCCTTTCTGCCCCCACCCTTTGGAACTCCATTCCACATTCCCTTTGCCGCGCCCTCTCCAAGGCCTGTCTCAAGACCCTCCTCTTTGACCCGTCTTGGGTCACTCTCCGGTCACTCTCCTATCCCTATGCTCCCTGCCCTCCACCCCTGCTGATCCCAAGCCCCAGCTCGGGTCCAAATCCCTGACTGTCCAACGCCTTGGGACGTCCTCCCAACGTGAAAGTCACCGTGTAAATGTCATTTGTTGGTGTTGTTGTTATTTGTTGCTGAGATGTTAAACTACCGAAACCTGTGGTGTTCTGTTCCAGTAATATATTGGGGAACACATTTGGGAAATTTCAATGAAATCAAGTATTTATTTGCTGCTCCAGCGGCTTGGGACTTCCTCCTAACATGAAAGGTGCTTTAGAAATGTAATTTTGTTGTTGTTGTTGTAATATCATGTAGAGACAGGAACAGGCTCGAAGGGCTGAATGATCTCCTCCTGTCCTATGTTCCTGGGGAATCGAATTCCTTGGCTGCATCTTTACAATCATCTAACTCAGAAAATACAAGCAAACACTCCTTTCATTTGAGATTGTGTTGGATGTTTTAGGATGATAAATGGAGTCATTAGTGTGACAAATTACTGTGGCACCAGCCCGTGAAATTGAGCAACGAGTTCCATTCCAAAAACTTCTAAAAATGTATTGGTCCTAATTTCCAGTAAGAAGGGGTAGATCCAGTGCCTTGGGATGCCCTCCCAACATGAAAGGTGCTATACAAATGTCATTTTGTATTTGTATCATTCCATTCTCGAGTTGCACATACACATACACACACACATGCGCACACACACACATATACGCACACACACATGTGCACACACACATGTGCACACACACACATGTGCACACACACGTGCACACACACGCGCACACACACGAGTACACACACACGCGCACACACACACGTGCACAAACATACACACACACATACATGCACACGCACACACACGTGCACACACACATGCACAAAACAGTTTGCTCTTGTGGTTCACTCAAACTTGCTTGAAGGAGAGAGACCACCTTAGTTTCTTCTCAGTATTTCCATTACACAGTGAGTGAGACAAGGTCATAAAAAGGAAGGTGAACACACCATTCAGAGTTAAATATTTTTGTACAGACTGATCACAAAGTATATAGAAATGACCCCCCAGGGAGGTAGTGGAGGCCGATTGTGTCAGCAAGTTCAAGTCAGAATTAGCATTCTGGTGATGGAATTGGGGGTGTTGAGAAGTCGAGGAGTTTAGGAATATGCATTTTCTTTGGGATTGGCCAGATAGTCAGTTGTCGTTTGTGTTCAAGTGCAAACCGTTTGCCCAGTGTCACCAGCCACCTCCTTAACTGGCCACACACAGGCTACACACTGCATTAGGTGTGACACTGCACTGGTGTGTTGGTGTGACACTGCATTGGTGTGTTGGTGTGACACTGCACTGGTGTGTTGGTGGGACACGGCACTTCACCTATATGAAGGGCACTTTATAAATAATAATCCTTGCATTTG